GTCTTTTTTTTTTTTTTAAATTTTTTTTTTTTTCAACGTTTATTTTTTATTTTTGGGACAGAGAGAGACAGAGCATGAACGGGCGAGGGGCAGAGAGAGAGGGAGACACAGAATCGGAAACAGGCTCCAGGCTCTGAGCCATCAGCCCAGAGCCCGACGCGGGGCTCGAACTCACGGACTGTGAGATCGTGACCTGGTTGAAGTCGGACGCTCAACCGACTGCGCCACCCAGGCGCCCCTCTCTCTGTCTTTTTTAATGTTTATTTTTGAGAGAGAGAGCATGCGAGCACGAGTGGGGGAAGGGCAGGGAGAAAAGGAGAAAGAATCCGAAGCAGGCTCCATGCTGTCAGTGTAGAGCCTGATGTGGGGCTCAAACCCCCATACCGTTTGATCATGATCTGAGCCGAAATCAAGAGTCGGACGCTTAACGGACCGAGCCACCCAGGTGCCCCTCTTTTTGTCATCTCTTTGACAGCAAAGAACTTTATGAGATCAGAGTGTGGTGCCGGGCGCTGCGAGGAATAGACTGATCCCGACAGCCGTGCCCGTCAAGGACTCAGGGCGTTGCAGGGTGCCACCAGCTCTAAGTGGAGGAAGGGTGTGGACCAGGAAGGGGTCCGAGAAAAGCACATGTGTTTAGCGGGGTGGCAGGTTGTCCAGCCTGGGGAGAGGGAACCCTTGGGAGTAGCAGTGTGGGGTCAGGTGCAGGAGGGAGGGCTTGTGGCCAGGGACTGGGTCCTGGGCCTCTGAGGCACAGCGAATGGGCCGGTCAGCTTTCTGAGCTAGGAAGGGCTGTGGTCAGATACGTGCTTTAGGAAGGTAATCGCCCATAATGCTAAGGCTGGACTGGATTAGGGGAGAAATCAGAAGCAAGACGATCAGGGGCTCCCGGGGGTGCGTTGTAAAGGCCACGGTCTTCAGAGTGAAGTCACCGCGTTCCTGGTTTTCAGGGAACTTTTGCAGTGGTGTGCTTTGGTCTCACATTTGACGCTCTACCTCTTTTGTGCTAAAGCCGGCAAAAAGACCACAGATGAGGAGTTGGAGGAGATGTTGGAGAGTGGGAACCCCGCCATCTTCACTTCTGGGGTGAGTGTCCAGGAGCTGGGGTGCATGCTCCTCTCGAGGGAGGCTGCCGTGGGGCTCCGTGTGGTTGGCAAGGGCAGGGTTGCAGGTGCAGGGGGGCGGGGGCCTCTGGCCAGGGCGTGGGTTGGCAGTAGGCCTTTGTGTGGCCCGTTGTAGATCATCGACTCTCAGATTTCAAAGCAAGCCCTCAGCGAGATCGAGGGGCGGCACAAGGACATCGTGAGGCTGGAGAGCAGCATCAAGGAGCTTCATGACATGTTCGTGGACATCGCCATGCTGGTGGAGAATCAGGTAACCGGGCAGCGGGCACCCCCGTGGGGCGAGGGAGGGAAGCTCAGGCACTCCTGAGAAGTGGGGGGACCAGAACACCGGCCGGGGTGCAGTGGGGGAGTCCTCGGGAATTCGCATGATGGAGGAACAGAATCCCAGTGTCCAGGCCAGGAACGCCCCCCCGAGTGCCCCGTCAGCCCCATCACTCTTGCTGCTCCTTCGGCCTCACAGTCACTTAAACTTAGTAGGGGCCTTGATGCGGTCCAGCCTCAGCACCCCGTTTTCTCTTCTAACTGGAGATGTGGGTTCTTGGTGAGGGTGCCTTAGAACAGCCTCCGGGTACGAACTGTTTCACTGGTGACACTGAAGACAGGGTCATTCTGCCACCTCACAGTGAAAAGTTAGCTTTGCCAGAGGGTTTAATTTTTGTCCATTTTTGTGTCTTCTTTTGTATGTCCCCCCCCACCCCCCCATATTTTGGCACTTTTTGCTAAGGAAAAAGAGCAGATAAGGGAATGAACAAAGCAACAGGAGAATAATGTTCGTAGGAAGACTTGGAACACTCATGGTCTGATGGTTTATTCTGTCCCTGGGTGTCCTTGCTCAGGCTGCCAGCCTGTCACACCTGCGTGTGGCGCTGGTTCCACGCATGATCAGGTGCCTACCGGTCCTGGCGACCACGGTGTCCAGATGTGCCGTGTTACCATGAACTTCCAGCTGCCCTGCCACCTGGAAGGGATGGAGGCCCGCGTCCTTTGTGGGAGGGCTGCAAAACGTAACTGAAGCCCGGGCACTGCTTGGCTGGTTTTCGAAGGCTGGTCCCTGCTCGGGGCCCAGGTGCCTTTCTTTCCTCCGCCCCCTCTGGCCTTTGAGACCATTCCTTAAGTGCGTCGTCCATCCCCACTCTTCTTTTTTCTCCCCTCGCGGCCTTGCTGAGGAATTGGTTTGACAGTCAAGTGATGGTGAGTGCCTTTCTGTGTTTACAGAGTGCCGTAAAGCAACGGGTCAGGTTGGGAAAGGTCTAGGTAGGTGAGGGGCGTTCCCATCCTAAGATGCCCAGAATTAATCCGAGTCACCGAACTTCCCTGTCGGGAAGTAACAGCTGAGAGATGGTTGGGAATCTCGCTCAGAGACCACTGTCCTTCCATAGCCACGTCGATCTAACATGTAACCAAATAGCTTAGGTAAACCCAATATCTGTCACTTAAGGGGCCCGGGAGTATCTCTTGGAGAAAGCAAACATTCCCACCTTGGATATTTACTGAGCAACTATTTTTTGCCAGCACTGTTCTGCAGCAGTAGTCAGCAAACTTGCCTCAGGCCAAATGAACTTGGCTCAGGTCTACATGACCAGCAAGAGGCCAGCATCCCAGTTATGCCCCAAAATACTCTCATTTTGGTTCCTCTCCTCACATGCTCAGTTAAAAACAAAATGGCGGGGGTGGGATCTGTGAGATCCATAGTTACCAGGCATCTAGATGGTGTACTACAGGTGTCCCGGGCAGCACCTGCTCCACAGGAGTCATTCAGAGTGTTGCTTGAATGAGTGACCACCACCAAGGACCGGAGACCCCTAGGTCTTCCCATGGGAAATGTGAATGTGTGTCCCACAGAAGGTTTCTGGATGCTTCCCTCCCCCACGTGAGCTAGGACTGTCCTGGGGTGGGTTTATGGGGCGTGACTCATGTCCGTTCTTCTCAGGGAGAGATGCTAGATAACATAGAGCTGAATGTCATGCACACAGTGGACCATGTGGAGAAGGCACGGGAAGAAACTAAAAGAGCCGTGAAGTACCAGGGTCAGGCCCGGAAGGTGAGACTGTCCCACTGCCTTCAGAGAAGAAAGTCCATTCTGCTCGCGGTCTCTCGCTCTTTCTCTCTTCTCTGTCCCTGTCTCTGTTTCTGCTGCCACCACCTCTTGCATCCGGGGAAAGGGAGCCATGATTGACCGTATCGAGAACAACATGGACCAGTCTGTGGGCTTTGTGGAACGGGCTGTGGCAGACACCAAAAAGGCTGTCAAGTATCAGAGTGAAGCTCGGAGGGTGAGCGTCTCAGTCCCCACCGGTCTGGCTTGCTTCTCCTCTCTCTGGTCCTCCGCACCCGCACCCGTGTCCTTGAGCCCGTGCCTTCCCTCTGTGTCCTGGCCTCCTCCCAACACCTATGTCAGCCTTTCCCTGAGAGTAGCTAGCTGCCCTTCTTCCCCCGGTGTTTCTTGCATGGATCTGGCTCACGTACTCTCTACCCAAGAACCCATACTTGGAGGCCGTTCTGTAGGGTGGACGCGTTGCCCCGGTGTGGCTGCTAGACTTCTCCTGTTCCTTTCAGATGTTACACTTGACTCCTCTGTTCTTCAGAAACCTGTTTGCCCTCTTCCACTCCATTAACCAAGCTCCACCCCCACCCCCTTCTCTCTGCCATGAACCCAGTGCTGTGCTGATCGCCATGTAACATTACCTCCTCTCTTATGGAGCACCTATTATTTCTACTTACACATGAAACAGCTGAGGGTCAGAGGTTAAATAGTTGGCTTCGGGCCACCTAGTAAGTACAGGAGTGGGATTCAAAGTCAGATTCCAGTCACGCTGTTCCCACCATACCAGTGCATTTCTCCCTCTTCCAGTGCCCCTGTTGCTTGAGGACTTCTCAGCTTCTCTGCCCGTTGTGGTAGCCATCTCTGGTAGCTTGTGCTTTGTAGGCTGTTCTTTTCTCTTTCTCCTGGGCTCTGACACTTTGGTTCTTCAGTTCTTTGATTTCCTTCCAACTTTACCTATTGCTTGTGCAAGGACTCAGGGAGCTGGGAAGTTATTTTACATGATGAATCCAGGCTGGCTCACAACAGGACTGTAATCACGCTTTCTGATCCCCAGTCACTGGATCAGGTCTGATGGACAGGCATGTGCTTTAGGGGAAAGACGGATGGAAGTTTGAAATTAGGTCTATTCAAAAACATACACTTCTTGAAAAGGAAAAACTGGTCACGTCATACCTTGGCCTATAGCTGCTTGGAGACAGTTGTTGTTGTTGTTGTTTTTATCTGTGCACATGTCCAAGACTGCAGTGTGAGCTGAGAGCAGCTCCATATTTCCATCTGCTGGCCTTGCCAGCCAGGAAGTAATTTCAGAAATATAAAATATCCTAATAGAAGGTCTTTATGTAGAGATGTAGCCTTCTTATTTGGATTGATAAGATGCTTTCAACGGAGAGGTGAGATGGGTTGGGTTTTGGATGGATTACTGTTTTGGGTTGTTTGTAATAATGCTTTGTTTTGTTTCTCTTATCCTTCTCTCCAGAAATTGATAATTATCATTGTGCTAGTAGTTGTGTTGCTGGGCATTTTAGCGTTGATTATTGGACTTTCCGTTGGGCTGAAATAACGGTGGCCTGAGTGGCTGCTGCACTGAAATGTAAGTAAATGGAAGGTTCTCGGGGACTCTGGATTGGCTCCCTCTTGAGAAAGTGGCCTGGGATTTCACTTGGCACTGCTTGCCCCTTGTGACTGTCCTTGGACGCACTGAGCTCTCTCAAACTTCCAATTGCCTGTGCATTCTTTTGTCTCCTTAAAATTCTGTTCTGGCGTTCTGGTCCCTGGGAAAAGTTCTCTTCTGGGCTGGGCTCCTGTTGGTTTCCTCTCCTGCGGATTCTGTCCCAGCTCTTTGTCTTACCACCTGTCCTGGCACATTCGAGCACCACATTTTCACTCCCTTTGCTCAGCAAGCATGCTCCTAATTGGGTGCCATCTGTGTCCTGGATCCAGGTTTTATCTTCTGAATTCTTGCTGACTCTCATGGATGTTGGGCTTTGCTTTCCATATGCTTTTCAGTGTAAACAAAGCCTTGGAATGGGGTTTGGGGCAGCGGGGTTTTGTCTGACTGACCAGTTGGATCTTGAATGATATAGCGGTTAACATTTCTGAGTGTTGAGTTGTGCCAGACCATGTATTGAACACCTTACACACACATCCTTGAATCCACATAACATCCTCCTGACGTAGGTACTATCGTTACCCATTATTTTATGGACGAAGACACTCAGGCTTGAAGAGATATGAAGTGCCAGGGCCAGGTGTGAACACACAGCTGACGATGGGCCTGGGGGGAGGTTCTCTACGGCATCTTCGCTTCATTTGTAAAACCAGGTATCCATTCTTCGTCATCTTCAAAGTCCAGAGAGCCTTGGAGGATAGTTAGTCTAAAGTCTAGGACATTAAATTCTTTAAAGTCTGGTAGAAAGAATAGAACTGACCACTGCATCAGGGCTTCATGTCCATAGTGGCCATATAACAACAATGATCTCGTTGTTGGGACTGTTAACACTTCTGTGACTTCTTAAATATTACTTTTCTGAATAAAATGTAGGGTGTATTGTTAAAAACAAACAAACAAACAAACCCTATAAAACAGAAAAGGTGAACAGAATGAACTTTTAGTGTTATTGCTCATAGCCTTCTGGCACGTACACGTTCAGACGTGGTTTCGCACGGCTTAGACCGTATTATCTCTGGTTTTAGATCCAGTTAAAAAATCGTATGCCTCATTCCGCATCACTGAGATCTCTCCGCAAATCTAATTTTCAACACAAGATTGTGAATACACTCTCAATTTGTTATTATTTCCCCAAAGTTGGAGGTTTGTTATTACTATTTAGCGACAACTAACAGTATGACAAACCTCTATTTCTCTCATTTCTATTTTCTCTTTGATGAATTCAGAGAAGTTGGGTTGCTGAAGTACTAGATACCAATCTTTTAAATACCTGACACGTACCTCCATGTTGGCACCCAGAGCCGACCCTCTTCTTTATTTTGGCTTCGGTGGGTCTCAAAGGGGTCTTGAGACCCCTTGTGAGGTGTGACCACAGGATCTTGAAGAGAGATGGTTATAGCACTAAACATCAACTTCATCTTGAGAACGTAAATGAATCCTTTTTAAAGGGGGAGACTAGTTCACGTATTGTGTTTAGTTGACTTATCTGCATTGCTGAGCAGTGTCGGGTTGCTTATTGTAGTGTATTCCATAAAGTCGGGACTGGCTGCTGCTTAGGTCTGGACACCCTCCCCCCATCCATGTGGCCTGAAGACAAGAGGTCTCTGGGCAGGAGGGAGGGAAGACAGCCTATGTTTATATTCCCCAACTGTGTGCCAGGTACTGTTCTAGGATAGTAACATTATCCCTATTTTCAGATGGGAAACTCTGAAGCTCAGAGAAGTTAGGAAACTCACCCAAGCCTACCCAGCTCTTCAGATGGAACAGCCACGATGACCCCTGAATTTCTCTTTGTTCTTTTCACTGTGTAAGACAAGTGGGGAGTAGGGGAGTAATGGAGAAGAAGATTCAAGTTCTGGAACTTGTATCTGAAAGGTGCTAATGAGGGCCCTGTAGATAGAACAGGTGTTTTCATGGAGTGACTTGGCCTCCCTCTGGCAAGTCCTTTGATGGGAATGTGACAGCCTGTGTGAAAGATTATAAAAGGCCCAGAGGTTTATTTTTCCCTTGCATAATACGGCTTTTTGATTCTTTTACAATAGGAGATTTAGTCCCAGGTCCCGTCTCAGCGGTTTGTCTACCGGATTTCTCAGGTTTCGTGTTGACTTCACCATTGCCCTCCTTTTTGCAGTTTTGTCTGATTTTTCGTCTCCACCTTCTAGGTTTGTGACCGAGTCTTAATGTTGCTCTCCACCATCATCCTGTGCACTGATCAGCTCCTCCTTCCCCTGCCTCTCTTAGAACCCGATTTCACTCCAGCCTGGTGTGGCCACCCTTGTCTTCAGACGGGAATGGAGTTTGAATGGCCTTCCTGAGAGAGTGGGACCTGTCCCCTTGTAACCATCCTTGGACCTGACCCAGCAAACAGTTTAGCCCGGATGAAGCTAATCTACCTGATGCGACCCTGAGTTCTCCTCAAAACCTTCTCCTGCCCCAACTCTGAAGTGCCTTCTCTCCTGGACTGTGCAAACCACCCCAGCTTCTCTTTCTTTCCTCTGAATGTGTCAAATTATGCCTTGCACCTTGGAAAGCCTATTCAAAACCTTCTCAAGGTGCTGTATTTTCTACCTCATGGAGTATTCTCCCAGAAATTGCAGTGTATTTTTTTAGGGGGGCATTTTTAACAAAGCAAAGGAATTCTTCCAAGTGTGGCAACAATAAGACTTGACTTGAGCCTTCCACTTGGCAGGATCTCAGTCCTTACAATTTCTTGTCCCCACATCTTGAAAATATGAGGAACTGGCAGATGTCATTTTGGTCTTAGAAGCTGACTTATTTGAAATTCAATCTTAAATTAAGCTCTTAGTATGTTCAGCTTGGTGACCAACTTCAATCTTTATGTCGTAATCTCGTGTTTACTCAAGGGGGCACCATGATGATCCTAGATGATCCACGATGAGGTTACCATTTGTAAAGGTTAAGGGTATGGGATATTTGTTTCCCATATCGAACTCTTGGAAACTGGCTGTTCTCCATTGGAGTGAAGCTTTGTGAAGCCATTGCCTTGAGGCCAGAAATAACCAGGCACTTAAAATTGGGCCAGGGACAGGTGCTTGAGTCTCAGGCTCTGGAAATGATCAAGACTGGTGCGAATATACAGTCACTCATTTCACGTATTCCAGATGTATTTTTATAACCATGTGTGTGAGATATATATATATATACATATATGCCCATGTCTCTCAGGAAGTAGGAAACTAGAAATGGAGGATATTATAACCTCAAAAAAAAAAAAATAACCTTGAGCTAGGCTAAAAATTAGGTAAGAGACATTTGCTTATCTGCAAATGAATCAGTAGAAATATCTTCCCGTGTCATTTAGAAACCTTGTTTTATGGATGAGTACTGGGACGATCATGGATCTCTGGGGTAGGGACTAAGTTGACCCCGTTAAGTTATTCTGCTTAGCAGACAGAAGGTGTGACAAGTTTTGGTACCTCTTCCCACCAGTGCATTGATGAGGCTTGTCCTGAGAATATCCCATAGCAATCTGAGATCATTCATGTGGCCTTTGGATGATCCTGTTGTCAGGGCTGAGTCAGCTGGGGGAGATCAGGGACTACCGAGTAATTTGTCCACTACCAGGTTGACAAGCTTGACAGGTTCTTGGTCTCCCCCAGTTCTTGTCATGGAGGGAAGCAACAGCCAGGTAATTTTCTAGTGATGGTGCCCCTTAGATTCCCAGTCCCTGCCAGTCTCCCTGATTTATATTTCAGCCTTGACTTTCTAGGATAGGGAGAGCACCCTAATGCAGGCACAGCCCCTTGGCTTCCTCTGCAAAGGCTACTTACTCCGTCATTGCCCAGCACTCAGACAGAGCCAAGGGGATGCCCTCTTGCCCGTGGCTATGAAGTCGAACAGCGGACTGGCTCCAGCAACTAGGGCAGACAAGCTCTAATCACAGGCCTTTGTTGAGGCCTGGGGCTTAGTTTAATACAAGTGAAGGGGTTTTTTGTTGTTGTTGTATTTTTTTTTTTTAATGTAAAGTTGATTATTTTATTGATAATTTAAAAATAAATGACTTTATATTGATTGTGAAACAGTTCTGCCTCTCTTTCCCTGCAAAACAGTGGCCGGATGCCACCACGTGGTGGTTTTGGTTTAGGCTTTGGAAAGGGGTTAAAATCTTTTTCAACCATGTGCTGGACCAGATGGACCAAAAGTCCCAGATTTTGAAGATGGTGTACCTCTCAAAGAATGAAATGTAACTGTATTTGAGTTTCAGATTTAAGCTGCTCCCTGCCCACCATAATTTGGTTCACTCGTCATGAGTATCTGGCTCCAGGAGACAGGAGAACTCTGGTGCGACGGGATGGGATCTAGAAGGCAGAGACATACCAAACATCCCTGGAGATTGCTGTTGATCTAATTTTGAATCTGTCCCCGAAAGCAATGCTTCTGTTAACACCCTGGGTTCTAGAAGCCAGATCCATCTTCCTTTCCCTTCTCATCCTCCACCGTGCCCGGATCCGCTTTTGTCTCCCTTCTTTTGTGGCTGTGTCTGCACGTGGATGCTGTTGCTCACATGCTTTTTCTTTCCTTGTGTGGACGAGCAGAAGAAGATCATGATCATGATCTGCTGTATCATCCTTGCGATCATCTTAGCTTCTACCATTGGGGGCATATTTGCCTGAACAAGGTGAGCCATCTGTGGGGAGGGTCAGACCTACTCTCCCTTACTTGAAACTCTGGTGTCCTCGGGGTTTTGTCATTTGTCACCAGGTGCCCCAAATCTGGGTGGGATGAGGTGCTGAACTAGATAAAGGCTGGAGAAAACTCAGGAAAGAAATGCTTTGTAAGGAGAAAAATGGGTGAATAATGGGTTGGCAGTAGATGGGGAGACAGAAGGTGGCAAGCTGTTCCAAACCGGGTCTGGTAGCAGAACGAACGCTCTGTTCAGGATGCTTCGTAGAAGGATGTTGCTTCCCTGCAGCGGTTTGGGCTGTGGTGTCTGGGAAAGGCTGGAGGAGAGTTAGTTCTTGCATTAAAAGCACCCCGAACTCTTTAGAAGAGAGCCAGCCAGTAAACCCCGAGTAACAAGTTAGTGCAGACTCGCTGAGGAAGGACTTGGTGATCCTGGCTTCTAGCATCCTGTTGTGTATAATCTGTGAATTTCTTCCCCCTCCGTTTCTGTTGTCTCCTTCAGTCCTCACCGATGGAGCCTCAGCCGGAGTTTCTAATCCTTCTTCCACCTCTGTGGTGCCATCACCTCTCCACTGCAGATTCCTCACAGCTACCCCTCTTTCCATGATGAGACCTATGACACAGGGCGTCATCCAACCACCCATTACACGTTAGCAAAGCTAGACTTCAGACAGTACGGAGCTGGGAGGGAGGGGCGGGCAGGGCTGGAGGAACAGGGAGCACAGCGGCGGACAGCTGGTTAGGCAAGGGCTGTGGGGCTGAGAACAGGTGCCTGTTCGGGAAATAGAACAGCCAGTGCTGCAGAGGCAGAAAATGGTGCACTCCCCGCTCATCAGGATCTCATTTTCTCTTTGATCAACACCAGGCCCCTCAGGTTCTTCTAGGCCTCACCTTTGACCAACCTGCGTCTACTTCCTTCTTCAGGGTCTAATCGTCTAAAGTGAAGGTTGTCTAACCATAGGCGCCATTCGGGTCTTGCTCACGGCAGCGTCCCCAGTGCTTAGCACAGTGCCTGCCACTTACAGATGTTCAAGTATCAGTTGACTTAATTACCTGTAATTAAGCTCTGATTTCAGCTCATGGATGAGTCCTTGGGTCTTACTCTGAAACCTTTTAAGGCATCAGTGGTAAACAGGTTATGTATCAGATGCTGTGTGCACATGCCTGGAAATGGGCTGATCCACACTTCTGCACAACAGGCCTCCTATTTCGGTGACATATAAAGTCCTTTCATATGGGTGGTGATGGAGTTCCACGGACAGTCTCTTATTCTGCGAAGATCGGCTGGCCCCAGGATTGGGGTTCAGGAACTCAAGGTGGACCCCAAACAAACAAACAAAGGGTTTATACTATGAACTCCCGACAATCAGCACTGTGTTCTGTGAACGGTAACAGAGATGACGTGTCAGGTCAGAAAGGTGACAGCAGCCTACCACTTGCATTATTTATATGCTCTGTGTTGCTAGCTAAAACGGATTTAGTCGGCCAGCAATGTGTGTATAAAATTGTCCCAAACACTGGTCCCAATTCAAGGTTTAGATGTGTTCTCTAATGCAATTTAGTACCAGTAAAACCTTGGACTGCAAGAAACTTGTTCTGTGTTCCACAAGATGAGCAAACATTTCTAATAAATTTTAACTTGATAGACGAGCGACGTCTTGTGATAGGAGTAGTACATGATGCCGAACATCACATGATCCCAACTGAGCCAGTGGCTCTGGAAATTCGCTTTGATATAGCTTTGGCTTATAAGCATGTTTCTGGGATGAATTATGCTCGCAAACCAAGGTTTTACTGTAATTACAAGAGGCTCACTAAAAATACATTAAAAACCACAGTGTTCAACTCTTGAGAACCATGTAACTATTTAGATATATTTGTAACTTTGACAGTAAATTATTTTCTTTGCTGGAGATCTTAACGTTTTAAGAAGGTGGGATTAAAAACTGACAATTTAAGTCAGTGTGCTGTTTTCTACCCACTTTCCAAAGCACATGGGTTTACCATTTATATCTATTTGTAGTTCTTTTAGTTTGAACAGGGGTTAGAAAACTGCCGGCTAGCTCTGAAAACTAGATGAATCTTGTTAAGGACAGACAGGGAGGTGGCAACATGGGGATTTAACACACGGGGCCCTTATTCATCCAGCATATTTGAGTGCTGTGTGGCACGTGCACTGTACTAGAACCTACAGGGACACAACACTGGCCCTCAGAGAACTTTAGACCTAGAAAGGCCAACTTCAACTTCTATTAGTTCTTGTGTTAAAAGGCAAAGGTTACGTTCCTTATCTTATTGTCCAACATCTCCCTTTGCCTTCCAGGATTGAGAGATGGGTAGCTGGGCATAAATAAATATCTGTTCAATCAAACAATGTGTGTCCCACTGTTTCTTTCTTTGATTTTCCAAAAATGTTTCTAACTAGTAAATATCATAGCAACTTGCTCCTGAAGCGTGTACATGTAACAGGTAGTACAGAATTCCCCACTGTCTGAAAGTAGAGCGTTCCTAAGCTGAAAAAATGTACAGCCAAGTAATTACCATTTTGTGAGAGTGAAAATCCTCTTCGGATTTCTTCCAGTTTGAGAAAAAACAGTTACTAATGAAGGTCTTTGGTAAAAGCGAAGCGATATGAAGCAAACTTTCAGACGGCAGGGAAACCCATATAGATACTAAGTCCAAC